TGGTGGGAGCAGAGTAATTGGAGCTTGGAGAAGTCGTGTCAGGAAGAAGAAATGTGCAGTATGAGTCTGTCACCTGTGACAAAGAATGCTAATTACATTCTCAGATCATTCTTACATCAAATAAGCACACTTTAAAAACACTTCAGTTATGCCTGTGTGGTATTTCAGTGTGTTGCATCATCGAGTGTCAGAGCTCATCTCTCTGATTAATTGGCTTTTTGATTACTTAGCTTTTTCAATTAGAAACTTCATGTTTGTGTTCTTCAATGCTGCTGCAAAAACAATGCAGGCATTGATGATAAAGAGAGATGACAACAGAACAGATTAGTGTCAGCACAGTGTGCTCCTTATGAAGAAAATTATCCATATTCAGTGCCAAGTGAAGTCTGTCAATTATCAGATATTCCATTGATTGAGGGAAGATGCTCAACCTTTACAGGGGATTAATACAGGACCAAATAACTGTGCACCAGTGACAGCTGCAAGACTAAAGCATCAACAGTTCTATTCTCCAGGGGAATAGCTGTTCATAAATTTGGTTTCTGTGCTAAAAACCTTTAGATACGTCCCCCAAACCCAGCGATTCCCCCAGCAGCTGCCACTGTTTCTAGGTCAGGGATAGCACATGAGCTATTAGTTATTACATGTTCCACAGCAGCAAACAACATGAGGGAGTTGAGCAAAGGGGTTAAGGAGCAGCTTTCCCATGCTGTAGATCTGACTGGGCTGTAAAGCTGTTATCTAAGGGTTCCTATGTTAAGGAATTTGTCAGTGTTTTTCACTGTGCACTTCCAGGCTGATGGTGCTCTTTGCCTGCAGTTAAAAATCAGGGATAGCAGAGGTGAAATCTCTGACGTGTGTGCCCTGCACTGTCTCAGTCATGCTGTCCATCCTTGTTCTGTTCAGCTCCTCCACATCTATCATCCTTCTGTTGTTCCCGTGGCTTCAATGTCACTTCCAAGCCCCAGTGACTGCAGATTTCATCCACAACCATCTTTGCATGTTCAGTGTCACTGCAGCATGTAGGTTCCAGTCACCATCAACACTTCCATGTGTTTTGTGCACAGAGCAGCTGACACTGGGATGTTCCTTCATCCAGTTGCTTTTACTTTGCATTTCTTTTATCTGTGGAGGAAACATGTCCTTCTGCTTCTGCTTCCGCTTCGAATTCTGTGGCTGTGCAGCCCCTCAGTGAAGTGTGGTGTGTGTGCTCTGTCTCTGAGCCTGCTGTCACTCCCTGTTCCTCAGCAATCCCAGCTCTTTCCATGTTGTTCTGCTTCCTAATGCCATTATGCATCATTAGGAGAATCATGCCCCGAGTCAGAGGAGCAGAAGGAAATTAATTTTAATACACTGCTGTATGACACAACTACTTAGTTTATCAGTGTGAATGAGAGAGATATGTATCCCCATATTAATCAGGATATTTCTCACTGGAGCCAAGTTTTTGTGCCTGGGAGTTTTCCTAGAAATACTTTGAGGAAGTGTTGAGCAGTTTGTGTGTCAGTGTGCTTATGGTGTGAGGTAATAGGATTGTGCTGGAGTACAAGTCTGATAAGGAGAGGCTGAGGGAGCTGTGGGGGCTCAGCCTGGAGAAAAGGAGG